TGCCTCTGCCTCCCGAGTGCTGGGATTAAAAGCGTGCACCACCACCGCCCGGCAGCTAGGAATATTTAATTCTTAATCTTTCTACCTTCATCTTCCAAGGACTAATGTCGCATGGTAACTGTCAAGAACACACATGGATATTCTTAAAGCTGAATATAGCTGGATGGTCATGCTGTACGCCTTTAATCCCATCACTCAGGAGGCAGAGGCAAGCAGATTTCTATGAGTTCAACACCAGCCTGGTCTACAGAGTGAGTTCCAGGACAGCCAGGACTGTTACACAGAGAAATTCTGTTTCAAACCAAAACTAAAACCAAACCAAACCAACCAAACAAACAAAACAAAAAAAACGCTGAATATAAAATCTTAACACTGACAAATCATGCAGTTTTTTTTGTCTTTTATACACACACACACACACACACACACACACACACACACACACACACACAATCCTAGTTGACACACTTCAGTTGGCAAGAATAGTTAGTAAGAAGCAGAACCACAGACGCCAAAAAGCAAGGTTAGTACATTTAGGGACCTTCCTGGACCCTGGAACTATGGACTAGGCCTTTGATGGATTGAGTCTTTGTTCCCGTTTTGACAGGTGCTGGGTTTGAAGGTCAGCATGGTGCCACTACCATGGTGTCGGTTGTGCTAAGGACTGGGAGCTTGCTTCGATAGGATTATAGGCCAGGGTCATCATGCTGGACCAACAGTTTGTCATCCTCACTTCCTGTTTGTTTGGGAGATGTTAGTGACTGACCTAGCCATGTGCTCTGTCACTGAGACATTTCTTTAGTCCTTGATTATGCTCCCACCCTCCACCTCTCCCTTCCTCCATCCCTCCCTCCCTCTATTCCTCCCTTCCTAGCTCTAATGTCACTATGTGGTCCTTGTTGACCTAGAACCTGTGGCCTCAGGTTTTTCTCCTGCCTCAACCTCTTGAACACCACATACCGCCAGGCATGGCTTCCATATGAATTTGTTTTGGGATTTCAAATAAATGGAAATCATCAACCAGTAATGTGCTTCCATCGTAGTTTGAATCCTCTGAATTTTCATGGCTTCAAAAACAAAACTTAGGCGGATCGCTGTGAGTTCGAGGCCAGCCTGGGCTACCAAGTGAGCTCCAGGAAAGGCGCAAAACTACGCAGAGAAACCCTGTCTCGAAAAACCAAAAAAAAAACAAAAAAAAAAAAACTTATCCCCCGTGTGGTAAGTGACATTAAGAGGGCTGCCATTGGAATTGGAATACAAGTGACTGATTATTGAATTAACCATCACCCTGTGGATTGGCACATCTAGAAACTTGGTGAGATCAGCACCAGGGTTTTCTCTTGTCTTCTCTCTCCTCCCTCTTCTTCCCCCACTCCCTCAGTACTGAGGACTGAACCTAGAGTCCCACACGTCCTAGATCATGAGTTCATTAGTTCTTCTCCACTGGGCTACGGCCCTAACCTTCCTTTACCTTTTCTTTTGTGCCTTTGTCCCAGGAAGCTGCACAGGCTGGCCTTGAACCTCACAGCCCAGAGAGGATCACCATGCCTCCCCGCCTTCCGAGGTTTTCAAGCCCAGGCCCAGCCTTAGCCTTGAGTCTCTTAAAATAATAGGAGAGTAAATTAACTTATGCCGTGTCAAGGGGAAAACTATGAGGTTTTGTTCACTCAACCAGCCAGAAAGAAGTGTTTGGATATGAGTCACGGGGAGAAGGATGGTTTCACAGTCAACACTGAAACAAAACCAGCAAAAAGCAGATGAGTTTGCTCCAACGTCCCTTTCCTTATCCAGCAGGAAAGAAACAATAGGAAATAACTGCTCAGTTAGCATCAACTTATTTAGAAATAATTTGGGTGGTTTGGTTTTTGAGACAAGGTCTCACTTAATAGCTCTGGCTGCCTGGAACTTGCTATGCAGACCAGGCTTGCCTCAAACTCACAGAAATCTAAGCCTGTGGCTCCTGAGTGCCTGGACTAAAGGCGTGTGCTGGCAAGGCCAGCTTGGTAAATCATTAATGGAGGATTAGGGCGCAGGACCATTCATTATCATCCTGACTTTGATCGGCCTCCTGGTGAAACCCAGGCTGTTACCTCTCGATCTCTCTCCTGATTTCCTCAAAGGCCAGATAACAACTTAGTTCCTTGTTGAATGTGGAACTTTGATGTGGGTGACTGCATTTGGATTCTGAGCTTGATCTCTTAGGAACGAGCAGAACATTGGCCTAAAACAATGTTGATCCAATAACATCAATCAGTTTATATTACTCTTCATTAATTTTCTCTTTCTTTTATAACTTATTTTTGTTTCATATCCATTGGTGTTTTGCCTGCACATATGCCTGTATGAGGGATCCCTTGGAATTGGAATTACAGACAGTTGTGAGCTGCCCTGTGGGTGCTGGGAATTGAACCGGGGTCTTCCGGAAGAGCAGCCAGTGCTCCTAATGGTTAAACCATCTCTCCAGCCCTGATATTCCTATCCATCCAACACATTTACATTAACTTGTTTGCAAACTGTTCAGGAAGGAGGGTGCGCTGGTCTATCCCTGTAGTCTCAGGACTCAGGAGGCTGAAGCAAGACCTTTGAGAGTCCCCGGCCAGCCTGGGCTACATAGACAGGCTCTGCTAAACAAAACAAAGCCTTTCGGGGGTGCCATTTCTCCCTAGAGGAAGCACTTATTCATTTGTGCATGTCCGTTTGATTACTCTCTTAGTAGAGGCTTCTGAAGTGTGTAGTTAGCGAATGTCTGTCGGGAACCTGGAGATTTAGCACAGTGGTGGAGCATTTCCTTGGCATGTGCTGGGTCTGAGTTAGAAGCCAGCATGGCAAGATGAGAAAGGGGGAAAATGTGTAGCTCAGGTGTATTCCAAGGAAATGCTTTTAGTAAACAGTCATGCTTTGTGGATGCTTTGTGAATCTTCCAGTCCTGCCTGGAACTTGGTTCAGTTTCTGTAGCAGGAGTGAAAGGAAAATAAGACCCTACCCCTGCCTGACAGACAGTTCTCCTCCCAGCCCTCCCACCTCCATTGTCTCCATGTAAACTGGTGACCATGGGACTGGGGAAATGGTTTAGCAGGTCAGGGCTCTGGCAGCCCAGCGATGATCGATGATTGCCTAAGAAACTGAGTTCATAATCCTGGGCACGACACCGTGTGGAAG